AAAGGTAATTAATCAGTAGACGATGTATGATGTCGATATCCATTAAATTGTGATTAACCCTTTATAATGTTGTGTATTGGAAAGTTGGTAATGGAGTGGGCCTACCACCCCGAAAAAGATCTAAGAGTTGGCCCAGTTTCAAAATTGGGCCCACAGATGGATTTGATAAGTAGAAAGTTGAGGGCAAATCCAAAAGAAAAGAAAAAACAAATGGTTTTTTGGATAAGAAGAGCGTCTGAATCAGTAACAGCTTGTAATTATTTATTGCGATATGATTTTCCCTGTTTGATGTGATATATAATTGAATGGTAGCTTTATTGTATAACTTCCGACCTTGAGGAGTGTAAATTGTAAGATCAGTTTTCAAATGGTTTTCAAAAAAATAATCGACCAAATTGATGGAAAATTTGGAATCTGTTTAAGTTTCCAGTTGATACGCTCAGAGAAGCTAGAGCATTTATCCAAAAAAATTACCAAAATGAAATCAGAGAAAACTCGATTTTTTTTTTTAGTACAACTTGTCGGAGAGGAATTCGAACTCACAACATATATGTCAATTACTGTTGAGTTATGTTCGTTTTGGCAAAAAAAAAACTCAATTGATTCTATACTAAACTATCACAATCATGGACGCTATGTTATGAAAATCTCTTCATATTCATTCATCACAGATTTATCAGTCAACCTCTATTAAATATGGAATAGACTATAACTTTGGAAACAGCATATATTAGAGGTGAAAGGAGGGACCCTAATAGCAAGATAGCAAGGGAGCTCGTTAGATAACAACACATTAGTTGGAACTTCTGAAAACCTTCGATATGATGAATCGATATTGTATGGAAACTTATCTGCATTTTCATTTCAAGTATGGATTGCTGGTATGGCTGCACGTAGAGACCTTTAATGGCCTTTTTCTTCTTAGCCAAACAAATTTGTCTTCAGCAGAATTCTAGCCCCTTTTCTGATATGCCAAAAGCTGGAATCCGATGAAAGAAACAAGTTTATAATGTTGCAAGTCAAGTTTAAACAAGTGCTTATTTATATTGGTGGATGCATTGTTTCCAAGCGTCTGTGTACTGTAAGTTCAAGGAAGCATACCAGATAGCCACAAGATAGACTCTGTGTTTTCAGTTTGGCTATTGATAGCGTTTCTTGCTCGTTCAATATCTGCATGCTATCTTTACTTGGGTCCATGAGAGTTGCTGAGGTTGAAGGATTGACTTTCATCTGCAATTCCTTCACCATGTACATTTCGACAAGATCGACTGGCAGCGCAGTTCTGAGAGCAACGTACTGCAGAAGAAAGGAATCTCAAGAATCAACTGAATAAATGAATTAAAATTTTAAACAGATGAAGGGTAGCTCTGTTTAATGGAAGATTACTTGACATAGGTGTCCAATCGTCACTGAAGATCTGCAGCAAATATATGGTCTTTGCAATGCGGGAATTCTATTCTCATCCAGGGAAACGAGCATAAGGTGGATGTTCAACTAGAATTCGGGAAGAAAAGGCAAAAGTCATTGATGGGGAGAAACAATATAGGCTTGTTGAACTTTTCAGCAGCCACAAAGAGGCATAGCAGCATGCATGTAACAATAGTCAGGTCATCTACTATAAGCAAACATGTCCAAAGTTCATTCATAAGCAAGTTCAGTAACACCTCAAATTGTTGTTTTTACCTCCTCCTCACTGATATTTTCCGAGTTTTGAACATAATCCAACAGCTTTGTAGGGCGGTTAATCCTGGAAATTTTACCATTCCCACCATTAATACCCCCATATCTTGTGTGACTTCTCATTCCACCCTTGCCCCAAGCAAGTCTTTCTGAGCTACCTACAATCCCTATAGATGTACCAACTGATTCTTTGTTCACTTCATAATCATTTTCGTTACTGCCACCATCTGCCCAAGTAGCCGATGAAGACTGGGAAAATCTAACTGGACCACCTATCCTGGGTCTTTTAGGCTTTCTGTCTATGCGCTCATCAGTGGAAGATGAATTTTTACTTTCATCATTATCATTTTCGTCCTCATTATCATCATACCCTGGATTCTCACTATTATTTCGGATGTTTTTTCGTTCTCTAGAACTTAATCCCCTTGAAGATTTAGGACGTTTCCTACCCAATGCTTCGGTTTGCCATTTAAGTGTCTGAGCAATGGAAGATTGAATCTGCCAAATAACCAAAAATTATTACATTTATACCAAATGTGAAGATAAAGGATCAAGTAAAATCATCTATACCCAGTACAATCTATAATAGCTAAACACATTATCAGGATCAAGGGTCAAGTGAGCTTATCAACTCTGGAAAACAAACGAATAAAATAATCTACAGAACTTAGCCTCCTCACCTGCTTATTACGAGCTTTTTCTTCTTCTTGGAAAGCCATTTCCTACAAGAGTTTAACCAATTTTAGAGTATGCAGAAATTACAATATCAACTATCAAACACCAAGCTTGCATGATCAATAATAATCCAACCTCTTCCTCATATTTGTCAATATCTGGATATAACACAGCAATCAAGGTATCATAATTTGGGTCATCTCTCAAAGAGCGTCGACTGGCACAATGCGTGCGGCAAGCAGGACATTCATTGTTGCTGCAGCAAATTACAGTAACAAGGTGAGAGAAATTGTTCAACAATATTTAATTTCTTGAGCTGTATAGCAATAAGCAAAAATCATCTCAAATAAAAGCTACATAAGAGCATACCCTAGACGCATTGATTTGTCAATGACTCAATGCATTCCCTGCAGAAGCGGTGCAGACATTCCATCACAGTTCTAGTTTTTCTAATGATTCCTGCACATTAAAAATTGAAGAACTTATTCTCCTATAAAAGATATTAAAAATACATGAACATGGAAATGCAGATGACCTTTCAACCTGAGTTCTGAGGTTGCCTCACTGTCACTGACCAAGTTCACCCAAATATATTTCCTAAACATGCAAGTTGCTTTCACAGACTAAAAATTTCATGGCTCAAAGAATTTGGATACAGCAACTTTATGTCACATTTCAGATGTATTTTGATTCAGAATTGAAATTTGATTTCAGTTATTTTTTTATTTAAAAAGAGAGAGAGAGAGAAGAAAAAAGGATGAAAACATTCTTTAGGGTTGTCTTTACCATATAGCAGTACGTGCAGGGACTGGAAGTAAGGAGTGAGAATATTGACAATATGAGTTTGAGTTTGAAAGTCGTGCATATATATTATTAATTGCTATGATATATATAAAACACCATCATAAATCACTGGCTCCAAATAATCTTATACAGTGACCTAGAAGGGTAATGTTCAATGAGAAATTCAGAACACCAAAAGAAACGAAAATCAAATTCCATAACCTTGTACAGTCAAGAATTTACTCAATCCACAGTCAATTAGTTTATCTTTGACGAAACTGCCTAATCACAAAATGCAGAAGACCATAACAAAGTTGATGTTTGGACAAATTAGTGAAGGTGAAAAAATTTGTCATCTTATCTTCAAAAGTTGTTCCATATCTAATTTACTTGGGGGAAAAGGCAGAAGGATCATATATGTTGCTTGAAATACAAGCACATTCAGAGCCGGTCCATAGAGCCCTGAAATTATTTTAGAGTTGAATTACATGTAAGGCCTTGTGAGGGGGTGAGGAATAAGTTGGATCAAAAACCATTTTCGAATCAATAGTTCAAATACAAACACAATCTGAAAACTTAATCTCTTTCCGTTGCTCCCAGATCCAGAGACTCATATGTTTACATAAACGGTCTTAATGTTCTCTGACACAACTTATATACAATATACTGATTTTGTTACATCAGATACAGATACATTCTTGGATCGGATGGGTCCAGTGACACTCTGATTAAATAATTCATTTAAAATTAATCCTCATATATCATCCTGGACAAATAGATCATTTAATTAAAAAAACCTTATCAATCGGCCATCCTGAAGTGCATAGGTACATATACCAAGTTACCAACAAATACAAATTAATTATATATGATGAATGCATAATTGATATTCCGGATATGACAATTATTTTACTGGTTAAGATCAGTAAAGACGGAATGACACATTGATATTGATATTAAACAGCAAGATTGTTTCAAGTAGTAAAAGCATGTACTTCCAGCAAATGAGTCGTATAAGAAAAGAGAGCAATGTTCAAATAAAAAAGAATCTTGTCTTATTTGAGAGCAACACGCTCAACAAGAAGGGATTACTAAAACATACCTAAGCAGATAGGACATTGCACTTCTCTCCGTATGTCTGACAATTTTATGGCGACAAATCTGGAAAAGAAAACCAAACAGAAGAGTTAGGATGTCGGAATAATCGCAAGACACCTAGGATCGTGTAAATTGCTTGGGGAATTCTACTGTTCACCATGCAGCTAAAGAACCGCTGAACAACTTTATGTTCAGACAGATATATCATATAACGCAACCCAAAATGGTTCGTTCATCGCGCTAGCGAAAGAGTATTGCTCAAGTTGCCCAAAATTTGGGTATTTCGGTTCATAATGAGACGTCGGGTTTCCAGCTGTCAACTTCTTCTAGGAATTTTCGTCAAATTGGATCCAACAATCAACAAAAGGAATGGCGGGAACTCGCAAGAGTTTTCCGTGAGCACTTCAGTTATAGTAAGCTCGATTCCACGTTGTGTGAATACTCGATCTGGGATCATGTGAGCACTAACATCATAGAGAAGCTAAAACCATGTGAGCTCCAACGTCATTGCACATCCACCAGCACTAGCTTGTAGCATATGCGAACCGATTGATCGTTAGGCGACCTCAATAACAGACTTCGCCCACAAGATCCAACGCCCAATTCCACTAACCTTAATCGGAAAAGAAACTCAGAACTAAAAGCAGAGAAAACTTCGGTGCAGGAAGAAAAATCGACGAAAGCCTCAGCACATGAAGCCTACGCAACTCGTCCCCGAATATAGTCGCGGTAAGGCAATCACTAAATGAACAATACAGTACGAAGCAGACCATGCAGATCCCAAATCAATCCCGATCAGTCAAGAACCCAATAATTCAATAAACAACCAGACGAAATAAATCAACGAGAAAATAGAGTAAGAAAGGAACAGCACGAAGACGACGAAGGAAAAAAAAAAAGCCAAAAACAG